CAAACCAAAGATCACATCAGCCTTTCATCTCTGGCAGCCTTCCCCTTCCTTGCCCCAGGCAAAGAGCCCAACCTACCTCGGAGCTCAGTAACCTTGGCCATGGTTGGATACTTCCATACCACTAGCTGATTCTGTGCAAAGCCATGGCCTGAAATGAACTCCTTGTAGTTTGTTGACCACAGAATAGAGCAAACCTGGGAAAAGGCAGTAATGCAGGTAAGAGGGAAACCGCTCATACAGACACTCATCACCCAGAGACAAGCCCCTGATGGTTCCCTCCTTTCCCATTCCCTCAGGAACCAGCAGCTCTGTACAGATGTTTGGCACTGAGCTGGTGTTCATGCCTCACCTGAGAATGGGCATCGACAGCACTGAGGCAGGTGCCAGAACACACATTCCAAATCCGGATATGTCTGTCACTAGTCCCACCTCCCGTGGCTAGAACATTTGACTGCCATGGACACCAGGCCACAGCCTGCAAGAAAAGTGTTAATTCTAAGACATGCAAGAGGCAATCTGCTCCCTACTGCACCTTCAAGAGCCAAAGCCACAGCAGCACCAGGGCAGCCGCTCTGCACACAGCAGTCTCCCTTTAGGGAGCAGAGGTACAGCAAATCCTCTAGCAGTGCATCAAGTACTGTGCGTCTGCCTTGTGCACATAGGCCCACACTTCACCCACAGCAGCCATATGCTCACCTTGACAGCACCCTGGTGCTGAGTGAAGGTCTGTACAGGAGCAAAGTCCCCACTGTCCCCTTGGGTACATGGCCAGATGTTCACCAGGTTGTCATTGCCCCCACTGGCTAGATAGCGTCCATCTAATGACCACCTGAGTCCACAAACCTCCTGCGTGTGGCCAGCAAGTGTGGCCACATGGTGCTCAGCCACTCTGACGTCATGGTGGTGGATATGGCCAGTCCGTGCCCCGCTGGAGAGAGGAGGTAGGTTTGCAAGAGTCAGGTTGGCACATTTCCACTACAAGTCATCTTTGTGATTGTGTGTTGCTAGACTGCCTTAGCCACTGCTGGATTTCAGCCAGCGTTACCAGCATCACTGGGCTGTTGACATGAGTTGGCAAGGCAGCCATAGGAGTAGCAGCTTCAGCACAAAGGGCAAGGGAAAAGAGAGCCCTTCTACCCATGGTCCCAATGGAATGGACTGAATAGGAATCCCAAGCCAGGCCAGAAGCTCCTCCAAGCTATCCCTAACCCACACTATGTGCAGATACAGGACAGGAGCCTGCAACAGTTGGACATGTTCACCTACACACACCCCTACAATCTTACCTGGACAGGATGTAGCTGTTCCAGCTCAGGGACCCCACACGTGAAGAATGACTGATCATATTCCGGAGACGTTTCTGCTGCTGTATGTCCCATAGCTAGAGAGACAGAGCGCTAAGTTCTCCAGTGTACCAGAAAACCCAGTCAATAGCACCCTCATCTTTGCCCAGGGAGCCTTACTGCACAGACTCTAGCATTCAACCTTTTCAGTGAGGGAACAGAGATAAATTTGTACCTCATGACTACAGAACAAAAAGTAAATCCAGATGCTGTAAAACCCCAAGCCAAACACTGCCTGCTGCTGCAGTTAATCACTGCCCAGAAGCCTGGCCACAGCTGGACATGGACTCCCTGCTAGGCTTTGAACACTCACTAGCCAGGGTAGACAAGTTCTACTGGTAGACAAGACCGCAGAGAAGATTCCCACTGCAGTGAAAGCCACAGACAACCTATTGGAGAGTAGCAGCAGATGGCAAAGACACAAACAGCCACTTTGAATTTGTGCCACCTCCTACCTGACATGGCAGAGCACATTGTCCTCTGAGCTATTCTGTGTGTTCCTCTATCACAGGTTACTCATTTCACTCAGCAGTTCCCCATCAAGGCCAGCAGTTCATTGCTTAACTGGGGTAAGGCACCCATACACCCAACATCCCTCCCACCTGTGGGGTGAATCCAAGTCAGTGTACTGTATACTTTTGGTGCTAGTCAAAACTTTGTCCGAGGCCCACATCTTCAGCAATCCCTAGGCAACGCCTCTAGTTTTATTCCTACACTCACCTGGACCTCAGCATTACTTGTGCCAACAGCAAGGTAGTTTCCTTCTTTAATCCATGACACAGAAGAAACATAATCATCTGGATGCTCCATCTGCAGCAGCTGGATGATCTCCCCAGAGGAGTAATTCCACAGATACACAGAGTTGTCCAGAGCCACTGCCAGAAAGTTCTGAGAGCTCCAGTCAATGAGATTCAGATCTACAATTTGGAAGAGCAATGCAGGTCATACTGTACTTAGCTGGAGTCATGCCCACACCTCAGCACAGCACTGCAGCCAAAAACCTTTCACCCAGTGCTGATGCCAGATCGTCCACCAGATCCAGCTGTGCGTGTGCATTTAAGGGGTAGCCTCCTGGGAGTAACTATGCCCAGCTAGCAGGGTCAGATAGCCCTGATCCGAGTCATTTGCATGGCACTCTGGACCACTGTTCCTATAAGGCTACACAGGGACACTCCAGAAGTGGTCCATGCCAGCCTGAAAGCATAAGATGCTGAATGAACCGAGATAGCTGCAGTTCTTAGAACCATGCAATCCTAATTACTGGAGAAAAATATATGTAGCCAGTGTTTTCCTGTTGTTTTCATTCAGACGTTCTTGTTTATAGATGTGGGATTCATAAGCTGACCTTAGGCTTGGTCAGACTCAGGCAAAGGTTTCAGCAAAAAGGATAAAGTTCAACAAATTTGCACTTAGATAATCTAGACAAAGGGAAAAAAGTGGTGAGGAAATGCAGTGGGTTATAACAAGAGTCCTTCAAAGCCTTATTCAGAGAGGAGAAGTAGCTTTTGGATGGGACAAGGAGCTCACAGAAGCCAACAAAGCAAAAGTGGCATTAAATTGGTCACTAAATTACCCATCCAAACAAACTCATCCCAATTGGAAAAGTGAGGCAGGCCTGGTCTAGCCTCTCAGCAAGAGAGCAAGAGGAAGCAACAAATATCTCCTGGGGGCACTTCAGTGCAGAACGATCTCAACGACTACTCACCATTGCAGGCTACTTACAATAGTCATTGCGGATTTCCGGTGCATCGAGGATTCTATCTGGCATTGAGGGAATGTATCTACTGTTCTTCCTGCTGGACCCAGGTGTGGTCTTCTGGCTGTAGAGCACTTTCAGGTTATTCTGATAGCCTGGGTGCAGAGGAACAGCCTTGTTATCCTAAGTTACTGTTTCCTCCTGGCTGGTCACTGCTCACCCAACTAGCGTACCCTTCCAATGAAAGTCAAACCCCGATCAGAAGGAAGACATGAGTTCTGCCCAGCAGAATACAGTACGTGCTCACACTTCCAATCCTGTACATGGTGAATTTGTCCCTGCTACTGCCACTAAACCAACATCACTGGCAGTTAATAGCTGACAAGCACCTGGTTTTCTGTATCCTACCATGTTTAAAAACAGTTAAGCTATGAAGCATGCAGCAGAGAGTCTGAGGCCTTTACAGACATCATGAAGATTTGCCATCTGCAGTGTAAGTTAGCAACTGACAGTCACCGCTCAGCTTTTGTCAAGAATTTCAACATAGCTGTATCGCCAGACCCCCAGCTTCAGGAAAGCGAGGAAGGAGACTCCAGCGTGCAAGAGCTCTGAGAAAGTCAATTGTTCTCTCAATTGACCCAAACACAGGGTTCCAGTTACAGTTCCCCTCCTCAAATCTCTCCAGCTGAGTCAACTTACCATCAGACCCTGCATCATACCTTCTGGAGCATTCTGTGGCTTTCCACTAAGGCGAAGGATCTTTGCCTCTTCTACATCAAAACCATTCAGGTTCACTGCCCAGGCTTTCTGTTGCTCCTAGAGAGACAAACCACCTTCAGCATGACTCATTTGAAAAACAAAGCCAATGCTGCACCTCACACAAAACCGTAGCTGGTAGGGCATATGCCCAGCCCCCTTCTCCCAGAATCAAAGGTACATGGCTGTACTGAGGAGTCAGTTGCACACACACAGCTCAGAGTAGTTTTTTCCTCAGATCTTTGCACTGTAACTTGCTCACAATGTTTTCATACAGAAGAGGGGCAAATTTAACAACTCACTGCTAGAGGGGAAGCCACAGCCACAAGGGACTACATGCTTTATAAAGAGATTTCAGAACACAGCATACGCATTCCAGAATAGCTCCCTAAGCAGACATTGTCCTAGAATAGCTACCACCAGCAGTTTCACTGTGTACAGGCTCATAGCTTTGTACCTCTGTAGCCTGCTCCATTTAAAAGCTTCATTAGTCCTCCAAAGCTGAGTTCTGCTATCAGAAGCTGCACAGACCAGAATGGAAACAGGTATAAGGAAGCTCTACACTCTTT